GCCGTTGATGATTCCGTGTTGTTCTGAGGGAACACCATTAATTCCTGAGTTCCTTGCTTCCTGCCACAGGAGAGCATCCCAAACTCACCTTGACTTCCCCACCCCAGCTCTGGAATCAATCCTTTGTCCAAGGAGATCTGGATTCTTTGAGGGCAAATGCCTCAACATTTAGTGATAGGATTTTCAGACAGATGAAAGGAAATATGACATTACCCAGCAAGGAACGGATTTGAGAAATGTAAGGTATAGATGCTGAAACCATGAGAAGATTCTATATGTGGAAGGAGGAGGTATTTGGAAAGGAGGGCAGATTTGGAAAGTCAGCAGCAGGGCTGAGCTCTTGTAACCTGGCTGACACTGTGAAGGTCTTGGGAATGATTCACTAAATGCTCAGTTGGTACCCGCATAAGCTGGGGATGATATCCAATCATGAATCACTTTGCTGAACAGGGCTTTTCTCTTTATTGGTGGTCACAGTTCTCAAATTAGAGTCACACAGAGAACATTGCTACTAGCCCTGCAGTTGTCAATGTTACTGTTTGCAGCAAGGGTGCAAAAAGTTCAGAGGTCATCATTCCAGGGCTAGTATGAAGGCTCTAGCATGTTATCAGGGACCTCAGTCCCTCTATCTTGCCATTCAGCCACCTTTAAAGCATGTCTTCAACCTCATGCCAGCAGCCTCATTTCACTTCAAGCACTTGTATTATCCACACTTCAGGCAGGAGAGAATGGAAGAGAAAAGAGGCAAAAGGTAAACCGACTCTGCTTCTAAGTCTTATCTGGTACCTTCTATTTACATCTCATTGGCTGGAACTGTGTCACATGGTCATCCCTACCTGCAGTGGGTGCTGGGAAATGTAGTTTTAGCCAGGTGTGTTGCCTTCTGAAATCAACCCTGAATTTTAACAAAGAAGAATGGATTTTGGAAATTACAATATCTGCCACAATAATACTGCCACCTAAGGCAAAACACCAGGCTACATGAGCATGGAGCCTATTTTATTATTACTGTTAGCATTTTGTTATTACTTTATTCCTATTTTAAATAAGAATAAGTTATAAATAAAAATAAGTTGTAGAATAATGGAGGGACAGGAGTTATGCACAAAGGTGGGAGCATCAAGTATCAGCTGAGAAGTGTGGCCACCATATGTCATTCCCCTCACAGCTGAACACTGCCTGAGTATAAACCGCTTACTAGCTTCAGTTCTCCTGTTTTTTATCAGTGGTCACGGCTCTCAAATTAGAGAGAATGTTGTTCCTAGAGCTGCAGCAGTGTCACAGGGCGAGCATCAACTCAAAGACACGTTGTGGGCAAAGTGATATTTTCCCAAACTGAACTGATGGCCTTGTGTCACTTTGAATTTAAACCAAATGAATCAGGCAATTCCTTAGAAAGAGTGGTACTGTTTCTTAAAGAGAAATAGTACTCTCCCAAGCTCACCTTTTCAGAGAAGGATGCTTGCTTTGCTGAGTAAAACATGAACTGTTTAAATCTTCACTTTGAGATCCACCCTTCCTGAGACTCCTCGCTCTGCTAGGATCATTAAGTGAACTCTCCATGAGTGAGTTTGGCCCTTCAAGGAGATCTTGCAGACGGGGCCTCTGCACGGAAGCTGTGTAGTATGTCTTTGAGAAAGGATGAAGAAGCAGTGTTTTCCTGCCTCGTCAGCAGACCAGGTCTGCTTTCTCCTGCCCTAGATTCTTGACTATGAAAATAATGGTTGCTCCTGAATCTTGTTATTGATTGAAGAAAGTAGAGCTTCATTTTATGTGAGCCATCGGAAGGCACCCTTCTCCTACCTTATCAGTGCTGTACTCAGTCGGGTCTGACTTTTTGTGACTCCTTGGACTAGCCCACCAGGCTCCTCTTGTCCATGGAATTTTCCAGGTGAGAATACTGGACTGCGTTGCCATTTCCTCCTCCAGGGGATCTTTCCAACCCCGGGATCAGACCCAGGGATCAAACCCACATCTCCTGTGTTGCCAGGCGGATATTCTACCTGAGGGCTTCCAGTTTCTGAACAGTTTGATAGTGTACCAAGGTTTAGAGGGAGCCAAGGTTTCTAGGTCAACATGTGTTGTAGAAAAGCAAGAATAATTCAGATATTCAGAGATCATGATTAGCAATTTTTATGATTTCACATTCCCATCTTCTAGACGCTCAACAAACGCTGAGCTTGTTTGAGGGAAGATGGGGGGAAGCAGGAGGAGAAGGATTGGGGAGGGATGGAGAGATGCCAAAATTGTGTGCATAGTCCAAACCAAAGCATACTTTAGCCCCCATCTTCCCAGCAGGGGCGCTTGTGGCCTGCATCGTCCAGCCCAGTTGCCCTGACTCTGCATTCCTCTTTTCAAGTGTAGACCCAGCCCACCCTGAGTTCTCTGGACCATCCTGCTGGGACAGCATGGGATTCTTCTTATTGGCTGCTTAGCTTTCCGTGGAGGATTCGTTCAGGCACAGAGAGTCTTAGTCCATGTCTGAGCTGGGGTCCCAGGAGAAAGTCCAGAATCAGATCAAGAAACCCGTCAGACCCCGCCCTTGTTTTATCAGCCGGCTAAACCAAGCGACAAATGTGCAGCCCAAATACCTTTCCTCTCTCTGCCATGCAATGAACATGAACTTGGGCAAACTCTGGGAGATGGTGAGGGGCAGGGAAGCCTGGCGTGCTGCAGTCCCTAGGGTCACAAAGAGTCAGATACCACTGGGCGACTGAACAACAACGTCTCTTCTAAAATAAGAGTTTTTGTGGTAGAAAGACTGCTTCATCACAAGGAAAGGGGGCCCCATTTTTTAAAGAATTTTTTTTTATGTGCACTATTTTTAGTGCTTATTGAATTTGTTAAAATATGGCTTCTGTTTTATGTTTTGGTTTCTTTCTTTCCTTTTTTTTTTCTTTTATTTTGGCCGAGAGTCATGTGACCTCTTAGCTCCCTGACCAGGGATCAACCCTCACCCCCTGAATAGGAAGGTGAAGTCTTTTTTTTTTTTTTAATTGAGGATAATTGCTTTACAGAATTTTGTTATTTTCTGCCAAATATAACCAACAATAAGCCATTGGTACACCGATGCCCCCTCCCTCTTGAACCTCACTCCCATCTCCCTCCCCATCCCCCCCAGGTTGTCACAGAGCCTGGGTCTGAGTTCCCTGAGTCACACACCAAGTCCCCACTGGCTGTCTATTTCACACATGAATGTAAGTTTCCCTCTTACTCTCTCCATACACCTCGCCCTCTCTGGAAGGTGAGCGCTTAACCACTGGATTGCCAGGGAAGGCTCGGGAGCTCCCTGTTTCACCCAGTTGAGAAGTGTGTACCGGTTGCCACATGAAGCCAGGGCCGGATTTGCAGGGTATCCCTCAGGGTGTGGGCGAGCAAATCCTGCACCCTTTCTGAGAATTAGGTTCCCAGAACCTCCTGCAAGAAATGTTCCATGAGAAGTCAGAGCTGCAGGCAGAGGGGGCAGGGAGTGCGTGCAGAAGCAATGTGCTGGGATATCCACTCCAAAATCCCCAAACTTGCCCAAGAATAACAAGAACATTAACCACTGACCCATACGCGGGTGAAATTCTATCTCCACATTGCCCTCCACCAGTAAACACGAAGCCTCCAACCAGAGGGCCAGGGAGAAGGCAAGCAGGAGAAGCTGCTCTGGGAAAGAAGTCCAGCAACTTCCACCCTCTCCAATCACTGGAAAAAATGTTCCCCCGGTGACAACCAAACCCAGACATTTTCTTGCTAGCCTGGAAAAACAACAGACTTGCAACTTTTCACGATAAAGACCTTGACTTGAGGACGCCTTTGTGTGACTTTTTCTCAGGCTGTGCCCCACCTCTCCATGCCCATCTCGGGTCCTTCTCCCTCTCTTCCTGCCATCCCAGCCCCTCTGACCTGTTCTCTGATCCTCAGATGAGCCAGGTCATCCGCATCTCAGAATGGGCTTCCTTGCGCTTCCTCTACTGTGTTCTTCGCTCAGTAATCGCGGCTGTTCATGTTTCACTGTTCTGTGTTACCTTTTCAGGCTGAGGTCTTCCTCAGCCACCCATATCGTGTTGTCCCTGACCACCATCTGTTATTTTATTCTGAGCGATCACCATTCTCTGGTCCGATCCTATTCATGTGTATATTGATGGTTTATTCCCCCCGGTGAGATGCGCAGTCCAGTAGAACAGGACCCCTGTCTGTCTTGTCCATGGCTTTCCTATGCCTAGCACAGGGTTGACACGTGTTGACTGGAAGGCTGGAAGGATGGATGAGTGGATGACTGGAAACACTGAAGGCAGGACGGAGGGAAGGAGGGAAGGAGGTTAAGTAGGTCGATAAGTAGATGGATGGAAAAGATGATGGATGGATACATGGATGGGTGAATGGATGGATATAATCAATGATTTGACTGAAGTATTTCCAGATATTTTGCTGACCCACACCAAAGAAACAGACTCTGGACACTGGAGTTATAACTAAAGCCAGAGTGGCCAATCAATTGAAGCTGTGATAAGCAAACTATAATCTGATTCCAGTTCTAAATGAACAACTGTTCTCCATCAAGCTCTTCAAGCTCCATCAAGCTCTTCATGTTGATATATGTTGATGTGGATAAATATCCAATAACACATTGTGCTATGCTAGGTCACTTCAGTCGTGTCCTGCTCTTTGCAACCCTATACACTGTAGCCTAACAGGCTCCTCTGTCCATGGGATTCTCTAGGCATGAATACTGGAGTGGGTTGCCATGCCCTCCTCCAGGGCATTTTCCAGACCCAGGGATCAAACTCATTAGCCCTCAGAAAATTCCCAAGTAGCAAGCTAGGAAAATTTTTCTGATAATTTAGCTTTTTGAAGATGGAAAAACTAAGCCATGGGAAGAACAATGATTTGGGAATGCAACCCTGGCTTAATTCCAACTCCTGGAATTGTCCTCATCACAAATTTTTAAGAGTGGCATTTCTAAATCATGCTTCTCCTGTTTATTTGTTTATTTGCTTGTTTTTTTGTTTCAGAATAATCTCAACATGGAAAGTGCCTCGACATCAGAAACCAGCTTTCCTCCGTCCAAAGAAGCACCCGGGGAACATTCAGACCACCAGGCCGGACACCAGCCCTTCCCCAGACAGCAATTCCAGCAAGAGGCTGGGCACCCTTCATTGCAAAGAGATGGCCCCAGATCCTTTCTCCTTGACCTACCCAACTTTCCAGATCTTTCCAAAGCTGATATCAATGGACAGAATCCAAATATCCAGGTAATGCTGGGCAACTGAAAGGCGGAAGAAAATGAAACAGTCTATGCCTTTGTTTCCTGATCCAGTCCCACCTCCCTTTTCCGCTTAGCCCCTTGGTGAATCCTGTTATCTCTGCCAGAGCAGTGTGACATTGCATCTGTGTAACACCCTGGATTGTAAGACGCATTGTTATTTTCTGAACTGTTGAAAAAAGAAAACACTGCTAGTTAGAGTATGGCACACCCACGATTATAAAATACATCAAGATCTGATTTCAGAGCTGTTGAAATAGAAAAATAAAACAAAATAATATGCCCTGAAATTGATGAAATATGGTAGCTATAGGGAAAGGCCAATCTAACGCATGAGTAGATGAGGCAAATCATCATGTGATTTCCAAGATGCTCAGGAAGGCAAAGCCTCTCTCCCTTGCCTTGATCTCCAGAAATTCCTCTAGGAGGCAACAACACTTCAGTTGTCACTTTAGTTGCACTATAGTGTAAAACGACTGATAAGAAATTTCGATAAGAAGAGAGTGAAAAATAGAAGTTCCTAGGAGATAGAGGAATACATGCCCCTAGGATGGAGTGGGATGAAGCTGAAAGAAACAGGAGGTTAGGGAAAGGGGTACCTGGAATTGAAATTAAGAACTCTCATCTGCACTGAAATAGCACAGTTTACTCAACAAGGCAAAGGTGGATCTAACATGACTCTCCCAACATGTTGAAGCCAAACATGTTGTCTTCTTCCAATATTATCAATAATGCAACTAATTCTCAGCAAGTTACCATTTGGTTTGCTTGCCCAAGGTCACATGGCTAATAAACAGTAGTTGGGGCTCAAACACAGGTTTTCAGGCTCCCTACCAGGCTGTGTGTCAGAGACAAACTCCTCATTTTGAATTTCACTTGTCCCTCCCTCTGTTTCTCCCCAGAGATGGGCCTCATGGTGGTGGAGGGAGGCCCATCTCCCTGGGCAGCCTGGCCCGTGCACAGCCCCTGTCCTCAAGTGCCTGCTTCCAGACTTGTAAGCTTTGTCCTCAGTTCTTTTCACTTGGGGAAGGGCAGCTCAGTTCAGTTCAGTCGCTCAGTCGTGTCCGACTCTTTGCGACCCCATGGACTGCAGCACGCCAGGCCTCCCTGTCCATCATCAACTCCCGGAGTTTACTCAAACCCATGTCCATTGAGTCAGTGATGCCATCCAGCCATCTCATCCTCTGTCATCCCCTTCTCCTCCCACCTTCAATCTTTCCCAGCATCAGGGTCTTTTCAAATGAGTCAGCTCTTCACA